AGGACACCTCGGAATGGCCCTGCCTGTGCTCTGTGTATTCCCTGGGCCATGCACATGGTTAGTGAGCTCCCAGAGACGGATGGTTCAAATCTGCCCGACGTGCCCTAGGAGAAAGGGCAGGTGGTCTATTTGCCCCACCTCACCCCCCAGATCAGTCATGGAAAACCCTGCAGAGCCCCACCCCACAGGGCAGCACCCCTGAAGCAGGCAGGGTCACTGCATGCCAGATCCCCGATGACTGCAGCTGCCTTGTTCCGAGTTGTCATGGTTTCTGAGGGGCACGCCCTTAGGCCACACTGCAGGGCCCGGAGGTCATGTAGCTTGGCTGTTCTCATGTAGTGGGGATAGGAGGGGTCAGAGCCGTGAGACCTGCTCAAAGTTCCAGAGACTTCCCTGCTTGGCTGGGCAGCTGCTCACTGGGGCCGGGACCTGTCCTGACCCCTATGTTTGGCCATCCAAGGGGGGTCCCTTTCTACTCCTTTGCCCACGAATGTTGATTGAGTGTCTGCTGGGTACCAAAGGCCTTGCAATCCCAGAGGAAGAGAAGGGCGAGCAAGGAGAGAGGAGGGTGGGGGCTCAGGCCGCTGAGAAAGGTCCCTCCTGATCCTCACTTCACTTACATGCACCTTCGTCCAGTCCTCAGACCAGCTGCGCTCAGTCCCTTTTCCTACTGCCCCTCCTTCTCCGTTACTGTCCCTGCAGCCCTGCCAAGAGAGCCGGCTGTGCTGGGCTTATGTCTGCTAATGAGCAACACAGGATGCTCTCTTTGGAACGGGCCTTGTTCAAAGACCTGAGCTTCATGCCGCGACTTTCTCCTGTGTGTGAACTGCTGTCTCTGCAGGAAGGGACGCGGACGGATGAAAGACTGAGCAAAGTCAGGGGGCTGAGAGGGAAGGCACACAGGCTCCGCTCAGGAAGCCGAGAGACTGGTCCCACACAGTCCGCCAGCTGCCTTACCTGTTTGGTTTAGGGACTCCTGGGCTGGACAGGAACCAGGGACAGGTGTGTAGGTGGACAAAGGCTGGGGACTCTGAGGTCAGTGTCCCAGGAAAGCACCTGGCTTCAGCTCCTGATCTAAAGCCTGTCTGTGCACCCTGCATTCATCCATCCATCCATCCGTCCATCCATCCATCCACTCATCCACCAACCACACCTCCACCCACAATCCATCCACCCACCTACCCACCCTCCATCCATTCAGTTATCCATCCACCCATTATCCATCCATCCCCCCATCCATCCATTCATCAATCCATCCACTCATCCACCATCCACCATTCACACCTCCACCCACAATCTATCCATCCACCTACCCACCATCCATGCATCCATCCATTCAATTATCCATCCACCCACTATCCATCCACCCCCCAATCCATCCATCAATCCACTTTACCACCCACAATCCACACCTCCAACCACAATCCATCTACCCAATCATCCATTCATCCATCCATCCACCTACCTACCCACCATCTATCCACCCACCCACCATCCATCTACCCACTATCCATCCATCCAGTCATTCCACTATTCAAGTTCATGGAAAAGGAAATGATTAATCATCGGATTTTTCCCACCAATGTTGTCAAGCTTCTTCATAGCACTAGATCTCAAAATCCCCCTGTCATGGAGTTAGTCGGTGCCAACCCACAGCGGCCCTCCAGGACGGGGCAGACCTGCCCTGTAGACTTCTGAGACTGCTTTTCCTTACGGGAGGAGAAAAGCTCCCCTTTCTCTGGCAGAGCCCTTGTGGATAGCAGCCCAGCTTGTAACACATGATGCCACCAGGGCTCCCCAGCACTAGAGGGAGCTTTAGATAAGGGGACAGTGGCCTCCAAGGTGAACAGAAACACCCCTTAAAACCATCAATGTGCCAGGTGTCAAGAGCAGCATGTGTCCAACAATGAAGCTGGGGGTGGGGTGGGGAAGGTCAGGAAGGGCTGGGAAAGTGGACGGAGGGAAATTGGAAACAGGAAGGATGGAGGAGGATGGAGGTGATGGGGTGGGAGCTGTAGTCCACGTCATGTATCCACATGGGCGTGCGGGGTCGAATGGAAAGCGAGTCTGCTGAGCACACGCCCACCAGATCCCGTAAAATGCTCACAGCGAGCAAATGGAAGAAGCGCCAGGGGGAGGGAGTCAGGAGGGCAGCGTCTGACTGTCATGGGCTTAGGACCACAGTTCCTGCCCTGGGAAGTGTGCCCCTTGCCCCCACCCTCTTTGCTTGTAGAAGCGGGTGCAAGTGGATGATGCGTAAACCCCAAAGGCCAAGCTCACTGCCGCCGAGTCACTTCTGCCCCATAGGACCAAGTCGGACCGCCCCCACAGGGGCTTTTAAGGCTGTAAATCTCAGAAGCAAACAGCCTCATCATTGTCCTGCTGAAGGTCTGGTGGGCTTTGAACTGCTGACCTGTCTGTTAACAACACAGTGCTTAATCTTCTGCAGCACCACGGCTCTATAGATGCTGCCTCTCTCTCCACCCCCTGCCTGAGAGTCAATCTCGTCTCATAGCATCCACCCAGGCCAGAGTCCACCTGCTGCTTAGGTTTCTAGGGCTGTTAGCTGTAGGGGAGCAGACAGCCTCATTTTTCTCCCTCAGAGCAGTGGGTGGATTCAAACTGGTGACCTTGGTCTTAGCACATATGCATTGCATCACAAGGGTTCCGGGCTGAAGATTGGACACCTCAGACTTGGGCAATGGGGATCAGGGAAGACAGTGACTGGGAGGATTCCAAGAAGAATGCGGTCGGACCCTGGTAGGGCCTGTCTGAGAGCAGAAGGTGGGGGCTTTGGCACCCCAGACTCCCTAACACCCACCCCGTGTCATCACTCCCCTCTGCAGTTTGACCTTCAGTGGGCTGTGATTTACTGTGATGCGAGGCACGCCGAACTGGAGACCTGCTGCGACATCCCTTCCGGTCCGGTGAGCAAGGCCCATCCATGGTGGGGGGACTGAGGGGAGTATTGTTGGGGAGGGCATCATAGGGTGTTGTCAGGGCGTAGGAAGGTGGGTCCTGCACGGGAGACTTGCACCTGAGACTAAGCAGAGCCGGTGAGAGTCACCAGGGGGCTGCTTCCTGGCCACATGGGGGCAGGCAGGCCAGCGAGGCCAGTGAGGCCAGCTCGAGGGGCTGAAGAGACCCAGGGGATGTGACCCTCAGGGCTGCATCTCAGTCAGGGGGGTCGTCAGTCTCTAGGGGAGGAGGTGGCCCTCAGTCAGCATGTGCAGTTTGCCCCTTGGAGGACCTCTCCTTGTAGGCATCTGCTTCTTGTCCTTACCATGCACCCCCCTGGCAGTCTGTCCAGTCCCTAACTGGGCTTTTCCTGGAAGTACGGGGAGAATATTCAGGCTGGCTACCTGGAACTGGAGGGTGGAATCCATGTGGGACACCCTTGGCGGCTGTTAGGGGCCATGGCTTTTAGGGCAGCCTTCTGCTCGATGGTTAGCAGCTGCTGGGCTTTGGCCAGTTCTGACCTTCTGCGTGTTCCTTCTAGTGCCGGGTGACCATCGTGACAGAACCTCCACCCACGCCCCAGCTCCCTCCCACCGCTGGCAGTGAGCAGATCGGATATTTGAAGACCATCAACTGCTCCTGCCCAGCGGGAGAAAAGGTATTTTCAGAGGTCGACCCTGATCGCCCGGCCTGGAGCTCCAGGGCTGAGCTGAGCTGAGCAGAGCAGAGCCGGTCAGCAGGACCACATAACATTTCCTGGTTCTGCAGTAAAGATGGGAATTTCCCATCACCCTCCCGTGGCAGGATGGCATCAGCCTCTGGATGACCTTGAAGTCAAAGCCCAGTTCTGGCTTCTGAGGTCCCATCCCAGAGTTCCTGAGCTGAGCAGGGCAGGGATGGTCAGTTGGCCTGAATACATCTAGTTCCACAGTGATGGTAGGATTCTCTCATCATGCATCTGGCTTCCCAGGCCCAAATGGCCATGGGATCTGGATGGCTTTCACTTCAGAGCTCAGTTCTTGCTCCTGAGGTCCCAGCCCAGAGCTTCTGAGCTGAGCAGAGCAGGGCTGGTGCCACAGTGAGCGTGAGATTTTCCCATCACGTACCTGGCCTCCCAGGGCAGGATGGCACCAGGCTTTGCATGACATAGGAGCCCAGAGGAGCACCCTTCTTGCTCCTTGGGGTTCAAGTGGGTTGGTAGATTGGTGCACACATGAGGAGAGGCAGCCTCGGCTCTGGCTTTTATCCACATTTCCCTGAAGTTCAAAATATACCCCCACCAGGCTCTGCTGGTTCCTCCCGGTATTGTCTGCACGCAGGGGCAGCTGCATCAGCCCAGATGTGGTCAGAGAATGAGACTCAGCATGGGGCAGGCAGGGAAGGGGTGGACACACCCCTCGGAATGCACTCTCACTAAGTTCTCCTCCACATTTCCTTAATTAGCCGCCCACTCTCATCTGACCGCCGCTGAAAGAGGTCGGTGCGTTTCTTCATTTAAACAGGTGGCTTATTCCCGTGCCCTCCGTCAACTTAGATGAAACTTCTCATTGTGTGCTTGGGGCTCTCATTTGTTTCCGTCAGCGGAGCAGGGGCTCTTGGTGAGAAGAAAGGAAATGCTCCCCCACAACTTGAGCAGAAGGAACATAAACAACTTCGCAAGGAGAACAGGAGTGGATTGGGGCTGGGACAAGCCCCGGAGAAGTTCCGCAGGACGGATCGCCCTAGTCTGGGTTGAACTGTGTGCCCCTCAGGCCTCCCCTCAATATATATTGAAGTTCTCATCCCCTCAATCTGCGACTGTGACCTTATTTGGAAAGGGGATGTTGGTTTGGTAAGAGGATCTTTGAAAAGGCTGCTAGCTAAGGCCACCTGAGGCTGTACTGAATACTGGGGGGCCAAGTCAAGTCCGACGGCTGATCCTAGGCTCAGCAGAATGAAACACTGCCCACTCCGCCACCGCCCCCACAATTGTTCCCATGCCGGCGACCGTTGTTGCAGCCACCGTGTCCGTCCGTCCGTCTCCTGGAGGACCTTCCTCTGTCTCTGTCCCTCCGCTTTCCCCAGCATGCTGCCCTTCTCCAGGGACGGCTGTCTCCTGACAACGAGCCCAAGCAGGTGAGATGAAGTCTCCCCAAACTTGCCTCCAACAGGCTCTCTGGTTGTGCTGTTTTCAAGACAGATTTTCCTGTCCTCTTGATACTTGCCTGTGGTACTTCCGGTATCATTGCCAGCCCCGCCATTTGGACCTATCGACACCCTCCCGGTCTTCCTGATTCAGTGTCTACCTTCACGTGCCTGTGCGGTGGTTGAAAACGCCATGGCTTGGGCCAGGCGCACCTTAGTCTGCAAGGTAACCACCCTGCTTCTCAACAGTCTAAAGAGGGCTTATGCACCCAAGGCGCCCAATTCCAGACGTCTTTCACTTCAGCACTTGGCTGCTGCTTCCATGAGCATCGATGGTGGATCCGAGCAAGACACAGTCCTGGACAACTCCAACCTGTCCCCCGTGTATCTTGATGCTACCTATTGGTCCGGTGGTGAGGATGTTGGTTTTCCTTACACCGAGTTGTCATCCGTACCGAAGGCTGCCATCCCCGATCTTTATCAGCAAGTGTTTCCGGTCCTCCTCATTTTCAGCAGGCAGAGTTGTGTCCTCTGTGAATCTCAGGTTGTTAATCAGCCTTCCGCAGTCCTGATGCTGCTAACTGCCTCCTATATGACTGTTGTCCTTCTAAAAGGAAGAGAGGGGACGACACAGAGACACAGAGAGGGGACACAGCTATGTGAGGATGGAGGTCGACAGCTGCATCATCTGTGAGCCAAGGGATGCCAAGGTTGCCAATAAGCACAAGAAGCAGGAAGAGGCATGGAAGGCCTTTCCTCCAGAGCCTTCAGGGTGAGCTTGGTCCCGCAGACACCTGGACCTCTAAGTCTAGTCTTCTCTGGAGAGACGAGCCGCCGTACCTGCTGCATGAGGCCCTGGGTGTGTGGTACTCTGCACAGGCAGCGCCAGGATGCTCATAGAGCCCCAGACCCTTTCCTCTCCAGCATCGGACCACATTTACCCTCCAGCCGCATGTCCGGCTCCACACCAGATGTACAGGGGGCCAGCGACTCCGTGCTCAGGACCAGGGACACTGGCAGAAACATGACGTGCAGAAGAATTCCAGTCAACCCCCACTACTGAACACACAGATCCGAGATTCTTCAGAAGATTTCTGATCCAAAGGCTGATGGGGGAGTACAGTACAGAACGTCAGCGTCTCAGGGAATCCAGATTTTCTGAAGCCATGAAGTCTCAATGAACCCGAGATCATCTTTCCACCTTGAGCCATAAGGCGGAAAGCTTCATAAAGCTAAACAATAGTCTGGGGGGCGGGCCGTTTAAAAATCTGATGACCATCCATCATTCAATTGTATTAAGCACCCTTGCGCCTATGTTGCCATCAACCTTTCCAAAACATTTTCTCTCTACTTGAGCCCTTGATATCAGCTTTTCTTTTTTCTCCTCCCTCCCCCCCTCTTCCAGCCTCGTGAATCCTTGATCGATGATATGTTATTGTTATTATTTTGTGTCCTGCACTGTCAGTTGTCTCCCTTCACCCACATTTCTGCTATTCGTCCTCCTGGGGGGTGGGCTATACATCCAGCCCTGTGATGGGTTCCCCCTCCCCTCATGATATCGCTGCTCCCACTCCTGTTCTGGAGGGTTTTATCTGTCCCATAGTCCGTGTGCGGAGAGCCCTCATGTCTGCCTTTGAAGATCTCTCTGTGAGGCTCAAACGGACAAGGTCAGCTCGAAAGATCAGATGGGAAATGGAGGCGCAGTGAGTCCCTGCCAATGGAACAGCCCAGCAAAGCAGGATGAGGATGGCTGCCCGGCTAGAATGAGGCCGTCTGTGTACTGGAGCAGAGACGTGGAAGCGGTGGAACTGGTGCGTGGTGTGCTCTGTCTTTCAAAACAGGAGCACGGAGGACTAAAATAAGAATTTCAGCCGCAGCCCTGTGTTCTGGCAGCGAGCTTGACCTGGCAGGCCGGCCCCCAGACCCTCCTCCTCCTTCCTCTGCTCTGGCACCATGGGATCAACACAGGGTCTCTATCCCTGGGGTCTGCCTGCCGGCTGGGCCATTCATGGGTTGTCTAGCACTGTGCTGCATGCCTGGCCGGTGATCTCTCTCAGAGAGGGCGGGTGCCCTAGAGGAGCCAGGCTGGGCTGTGGCTCCTCCCCACCCTTCCCGCAGGCTCAGGTCCAGCCTTGGCCCCTCCAGGGATTCAGCTCTCCAATGCCAGGGCCAGCCCCAATGCAGCTGTCTAAACCCAAGTCCCCTCGTGTCCTCGCTTTGAGTTAAGAAGCCCAAATGAGAAGGGAAATGGCATTACCAGGTGAGATCATTAGCCATGATGCACACGGCCCAAGCCAGCTCCATCCAGTTTCAGACTTTCCCTCTCAGCCAAGCCTGTGCCCTGGATGTATCCTGCAGGGGCCCTTGTGGTCGCTGGCAGAGAGCCCCAGGAGGGGAGTCTGGGGTCAAGTGGCCTCCACCCACTCAGTCCCATTGATTTCCCGACTCGAGCTCACAACCCGGCCCCCCGTTCCCGTCTCCACTGCCCACCTTGGCATGCCTTTTGGACATCCGTCCCTATTCCTTCCTGGCCTGCAGGGCCCAGCACCACGTCCTCGTTCATTGCCTCTCCAGCCTCAGGCCCCCCTCCCCCTCCCCGGAGAGCAGATGGGGTCCTGTTCTCTTGAACCCTGGAGTTTGCACAGGTGGAATGCGTACCTTATCCCCTTGACCTGCACTGCCCACTCTTCATTCAAGACACCTCCAAGAAGACAATCCCTCCCTCGCCATCACTGTCCGCGTGACTCCCCCTGCCTTACCTCCCTCCACCCCTCCCTCTTCTCCCCACGCGCTTCTCTTCCATTATTCAGAATCCGTCTCTCAGTAACGAATTATCCAGCACTTGCAATGTTCTCTCTCATTTTTTTTGGGGTGGGGGTGGGGGGGTGATTGGATATTTTTTTGTTTTGTTTTTGTTTTTTTAAACATTTTATTAGGGGCTCATACAACTGTTATCACAATCCATACACACATCAATTGTGTAAAGCGCATTTGTACATCATTCTCAAAACATTTTCTCTCCACTTAAACCCCCGACATTAGGTCCTCATTTTCCCCCTCCCTCATGAGCCCTTGATAGTTTATAAATTGGTATTTTGTCATATCTTGCCCCAATGTGAACTTTTCCTTGCACCAGGCCCCATACTTCCATCTATCTTATCATGATTACATTGCAATGAAAGTGTCTACTATCTTCCCCCTCCCCCCATAACATCCTGAGCTTTGAGATGGCAAAGGTTGAAATCTTTACATTTCTGCATTTCTATTTACTTGGTGACAGTGGGAATATACAGCCTGATACAGAAGTTTTTTGTTTAATAATGATGAATTTAATGGATAATTGGATCAGTGCATGAAGAGCTGGATGGATGGATGGATGGGTGGATGGATGAGTGGATGAATGGTTGTAGAGAGTGGTGGGTGGATGGATACATGTACGAGTGGGTGGGGAATGCGTGGATGGGTGGATGGATGCATGCGTGCATGCATGTGTGGTTGGATGGGGAGGTAGGTGTGTGGATGGGTAGATGGATGGGCCCAGTGTACAAGTCCCCAGCCCCACACTCTGTGCAACACTACCCAATACTGCCTCTATTTAGTGACTCATTCTTCATTTCTGAGAGTAAACTTGAAGCTACCACTATACACGAAGCACAGATCTGCACAGTGGGCTTTAAGGCAAACAGAATACATATCCCAACCTTCACAAACCCCTCAGGCTTCTCTCTGGGTAGGAAAATCAGGGGTTCGGGGCCCTGGCTTAGTGGCTGTTTGTATACCATAAGGTCTCCAGAAATGTCCAAGCTTGGGTGGGTGGAGAAGACAGCTCTGCCGGCTTCTCCCCTCCGCAAGAATAAGGCCACATGGAAGTGCTTGACCAACAGCCTCATGGAGCAGGATTTGGCACTGCTGCCTCCACCTCCCATCTTTAGAAGATGCAGCCCAGGGGCCTGGGAAGCTGTAGCTTCTCTATCAGGAGGCTGGATTCTGGACACAGGGAGAAGACTGCTTCCAGTGGCTTGGGTCATCAACTCAGTTTGCCAGATATCTCAACTGCTCAACTTGATCAGAGTGATGCTCCTGTGTCCATGTCTCCGCCCTCAGCATCACGCGGACCATGGATGACTTTGGCCAAAGCTGCGGGAGGGCATTCTGTGAGGTCACAAGCAGAGAGGTGTATCTAACTTCCTTTGTATGGCTGGTGGACATCGGCGGTTGATTTTAAAAAGGACGTCTCTAAAGTTGCTCAGTGTACACCTGTAAGCGGTGCTGTCAGATCCCATTGAGTCAGTGCCGACTCAGCGATCTTGTGCACAGCTGAAGGAAAGACCACCTGGTCCTGAGCCCATCGATGCACAGCCGCACACAGTGTCACCTGTAAATAGAGCGTAGCTTCTTTTCAGGTGGTGGGTGCACACGAGTGATCAAGTGTCATCTTTCTCTTAATTCATGTGGTGATATTTGCACAGATAAAACAGGACACTTGATGTGTCTGCTCGTAGTTTGGCAATATCTACCTGTGCTCCCAACTTGTGGCTCACGTTAAAAACAGACGAACAAACGAAAACGAATAGCAAGACCTTTTACACAGTCAACAGCACATGGTTTAAAACGGAACAAATGTTGCATTTAAAAAGAGTCTATAAGCATAGGTTACTGATGAAGGTCAAGAGCTGCAGGTTTCATCATGGATTGCACCTCAAAGTAAAGAAAGCCCAAGTCCTCTCTGTTGGACCCGGAGGTAACATCACGATCAATGGTGAGAAGAGTAAAGTTGTCAAGGATTTCATCTTGCTTGAATCCCTAATTAGGGCTCTAAGCAGCAGCCACCAAGTGATCTGTTACCTCTGAGGACCAGGGTGTGCCTATTCAAGCCGTCATCTTTGCAGGCTACCCCCATGCAGGTGAGAGCGGGCTTTCCAGAAGGAGACTGAAGCAGAAGGGTGCACTTGAGTGGTGGTGCCGCAAAGAGCAAGGGAAGTACCACAGACCGCAAGAACCGCCACCTGTCTTAGAAGTACAGCGGAGTGCTCCATGGGGGCACAGATGTGCGGCTTCGTCTCAAGCACTTTGGACGGTTATCAAGAGGGACTCGTCCCTAGAAAAGGACACGGTGGCTGGTAAGCTAGAAGCTCCGTGACAAAGGAAGGCCCTCGGTGAGACGGGCTGACACCGCGGCTGCAACCATCGGCTTACACGTCACAGTCGGCTTGAGGATGGCGCAAGCCAGAGCGGTGCTCGTTCTACTGGACACAGGGGTCCCTGTGAGCAGTGACTCAACAACCACAACCACAACATACCTGAGCTGGAGTTTTAGGGGCCAGTCACCACGCGGCCCATTCTCCTTCTGATCGAGGTGATGAACTTTTCAGACGAAGCAGCCCGTGGATTCCACGTTCTGCTCTTTGTTGCTCCCCATTGTCCTGCGTTTGGAGGACACATCACAGGTCCCCAGGGAGTTCCGGTCAGGAGCTTGGGCTCTTGGTTCCCATGAGCCACTTCTCTCATCCACGTGACTGATTGCAGAGTGACTTCTGGGCCCATCGGGTGGGTGACCGAGTGGGCTGAGGAGGGGCAATGAGGGCAGAGCATTGGCTTACCTTCTGTTTCTCTTCGTACCTTTAGGGGGAGAAAGGCTTTGCTGGCCCCGTGGGACTCCCTGGTCCAAAGGTCAGTACTGGTGCTAGAGTTGCAGAGAATCAAGAGTCAACCTCCTTTTGCACTCTATGTCCCAAATGAAACTAAACAAAACAAAAGACAGGTGCATGTGTGCATGTGTGTGTGTGTGTAGGTGCACCGTGTGCGTGCGCACCACACCTGCTCTGCAGGTATTTTGTTCCGGTTGAAACTTCCTCATTTCTGAACACACCTTCCACTTCTCAATCTAGCAGCAAGAAAGGGTTGGCTTTCCCAAGCCCTGCTCCATTCCCTGCTCCCACAGGCCTAGTTCTTGCCTGTCCACGAACCCTGCATCCGTCCTTCTGGGTCACTCTATTGACAACGCCGACTGAGAGCCTTTCAGGGTCTGGGCTTGTCCGAGCAGTTTAAATACATGGTATTTGTTTTACGCAAAACCCCCAATCCCACTAATTGCACATAGCCAAGTGGTGTCTTCCGGGGTCCTCCCCCCACAGCCAGGACCCATGTTCTCCATAGACCCCGAGCTCTGTGACCTCTGCAAGGAGCCCCGGTGGCACCACCTGAAGGTTGGTGGTTCTAACCCACCCAGTGGCTTCAGGGGACGAAGACCTGGCAGTCAGCCCACATGACGCTCACAGACTAGAGAATTCTAGGGGCCCTTCTACCTTGTCACGTGGGGTCTGCCTGTGTCAAAACCAACCCTCCACACACAAGGGCAGCAACATCATCTTCTCTCAGGGCCACCCGCCCTCACTGCCGGTCAGGTCCCAGGAAAGAGACCAGAGAGCGAACTGAAAGAGAGGTGATTGTCAAGTGGGCACTGGCGGCCCGGGGTTTCAATGTGGAGCTGATGTGGAGATGGGAGGGCCTGAGACTCGGTTCCTGCGCTCTCTCTCTCTCCTTAGACCCTTTCCCTGTCGGTCCCCTAGGCCACTGCTGGTCTCTCTCCTGGAGTGTGTGCTTTATCCTCCTCCCCTCCTTCTCCTCCTATATCTTTGCTCTTCCTCCTCCCCCTGCTGCCTTTTCCCTCCCTCCGCCACCCCTCCTGTTCTCTCCCCCCTGCCCCTTCTCTTTCTTCTTCCTCAGCATCTTCCTCTTTCCTCCTCCTCTCCCTCGCTCTCCTCTCCTTTCTCAGCCCCCTCCCCCCCACTTCTGTGTCTCTTGCATCTGCTAGTCCCTCTTTCATCAGTGATCATGGTTGTGCTCCCGGTAAGGCTATGGTTGAGCTTGCAGCCCAGGGAAGACACGCCCCTGCCCTCAAGACCCCCGGTCAGAGGAGGCATGCAGACCCCAGAGCAAGTGGCTCCTGGTCCTATGGGATTCGTTCCCATTGTCTGTCCTCTTCCACTGGAGCCTTGTGACAATGACTATGCGCTTGCTGGGTGCCGGGGTCCAGGTGACCACTTACCTGTCACCTACACACGGCTCCCTGAGCTTGGCTCCTGGAAGGTGCCCGGTGCTTGTTGAAAGAATGACATCC